GTCTACCAGGCCTTAATCAGCTTCAACGAAATAGGGTGAATACATCTCATAAAAGACACTGCAGCCAAACCCAAATCCGCGCCATTTTGGTCTTTTTATATGCTAACTTCTTGTCATATTAGTTTTACTCAGCCTAGGTCGCTTAAAGTGAAGAAGGGCTGATGGTCTAATTTTTCCACAATGTGTCGCGTATTCCTCACCATACCATTAAAAGTCACTTTGTTGGCTTCCTGAAGTGGTAATATCACTGTAATATCATGGAAAATGAATTCAGCCACTTCGGCATATAAGTTCGACATGTTACCATCAGACCATGTCAACCATTCACACGGCAGAAGTAAATTTCGAAACAATCTATGCCTCTCCTTCGTTACATGTGTCTAATAATGGGGTTTTCATTGTTGCAAACTTCACTTCTCTGAGGCGGAGCCAACGAAAAATAACCTTTCTTTTATTCGATTTAAGGGGCAGTTGTGGTGTACTAATTGGCATATGTCGACGGTCCAGGTCGGATCATGTCGATAGGCAGACTTAGGCCTTGATATGCATTATAGCCTTTTGCTCTCGTTCCTCCCAAATCCGGTATCCCCACAGCGACATTCATCAATCAACCCAACTCTGTTGCTACGCTCGACTTTACATGTGTTTGCCATTGTCCCAATTCTGCCTTGTGACTCGGTCGTCTAATGGTCGGACCGAGGGAGCCAGATTTGACCTCCCTTCTGCGGCCACTTTGGCCGTCCGAGCAGTGCTCTCCCGTCGAGTGGAGGGATTCGGTGTCGGGCGGAAGTGGATTTCGACTGCCTCAGTCGGCTGAAGCTGTACCTCCGGTCCAGAGGCCTCGTGAGGCAGCAGACCTGTCACAATCTTGACAGTCGCGCTGGGCCGGGGCGAAAGTGACTCGAGTCGGTCGAGGAGAAAATCGGTGTTTTTGTGAAGTGAAAAGCGTCTCGCTGTTGTCCCGACCCCATTGCATACAAAGAGAGTGGGCCAACTCACACACTTGGGTGTGTGTGGCTGACGCAGGATTGTTTACACATTTTGTCACTGATACAACAATATATCGCAGCATGTTTACCCGCAAATGCATGCGGCACACAGGTCCATTCTAACACACCCACCCACACACACACACACACACACACACACACAACGCACATAATATAGACATACAAAGTGGCATGGCAACGCAGACGCATTGGGGCAGGAAAAACTATTCACACATAGACAAAGCACTATCATTGCGTTGATCAGCACACTCATGTATGATATCTGCTTAAATGCAAAGACAATAGGATTTCGACTTACTTTCAGCTGGCTCCTGGCATGACGTCTGGGCAACAAATCCTGCCGAACGAGGAGGCTTGATGTGCAGTTCAGACGAGGGGGGCTCAAATGTGGGCACGGGGCAGAAGCTGGGCTGAAATATGTGGGCTTCTGTATTTGTATGCACAAAAATGCACACGTGGCGGCATCGAAGCTCGCTTAACCGCATCAAAGCGCCTTAGTGTAAAGGGAGGAGAACATTGTTCTCGATTTCTAAAGCTTAACATGCGAATCATGGCACTATTCCGGAGGAGAGTGACCCTGGCTAAACGAGCTGGCGCAAATCGGAATTGCAGATGCCAAGTGGCGTGTAAGTGAAGCCAATTGTTACGCACTCTTGAGCAGTCTGTATGGCAGAAGACGTATGCAGGCCTCGAAAGTAGCGCCGTACAAGTTAGGCGGCAGTGGTACGCGTGAATGAGGCAACAAATAAAACAATAAATTGATGCTAGCGTAGCTTTCATTTTGTTTTAAGAGGTGAGTCGAAGACATTTGTAAGTGGGTCTCACCGGAAGCTGTGGGAGCTGTGATTGTAGATTTGTGTGAATAGCTCCTCGGTGCACCGCCCCGCGACCCCGATGAATCCTTGCTGGGCTTCCGTCCGTCATGTGACCGACCTCGTCAGAGCAGGACACCATGTGGCTGGCTTAAAACCTGTCAACTTCTTGTAACCAAATTTGGCCAACTTAATTAAGCATATCATGTTTGGGTTGGATAACCTATACTCTGTCATTTCACGCTTCATCTCCAGTCATTTAACTTAACTTATGAGGCAAAGCATAGGATGTCCAACCCAAACATGAGATTCCTAAGTGAATGGATGTGGTAGATGTGGTTTAACCTTGTTAGGGGGACCTTCATTTCGAATGAAAGTACATGAAGAAGAGATTCGTTTTTCGATCTCACCACATGAGGACGGATGAATCTCGTTGTACTGCAACCGTTTAGCTTTTATATTATATTCATGTTGACGCAGTCCACGAGTATTCCTCCCTC